CATTTTTGTTTCCCCACAACTCCCCACCTTCATGTTCCATATCACCACAGCCCAAAGCAACAGACCAAAGCCTCTGCACCATGGGCCAAAATTAGCCTCTCCTCCTCCCGAGTCGATTCTCAGGTATTCTGTCATAGGAACAGGAAGGACTGACTGACTCATGAGCAGAGAAAACAAAACACTGAGGCCAGCTGCTGCTAAGACAAGGTCAGACGCAGGGGTATGCCCAGGAGCCATCCAGTACTCCCTGAACTAGGAGAGGAGGGTGAGAAAAGTAAAATAATGAGAGAAAGTGATGGAAAGGAAGTGTCACCTGAGTAGAAAAGGTCTTCAATGCCTAGGGAATCTGAGTTCAACCAGTTATAATCTCAGAGCTCAGGAGGATCTCTGTGAGTTCAAGGCCAGCTTCGTCCAAGTAGTGAGTTCCAGGACAGTCAAGGCTATATACAGAGATCCTGTCTCCCAGTCTATGCCCGTAGGGGCAGCTTTAAGGTGGTCAGGTCAGAGCTGTGCATTGGGCTATGACAGTTCGTGGCCAGTGAAGAAGGCTACTGGGGATGGACCAACCTGGGAGCAGGCAGGCACCTGGAGAGTGTTGCAGTCATTCAGAGAGACAAGAGTATGGCAAAAGAAGGGGACATAGCGGGTGGGTGCGTAAAGTTGTCAGGTCTGTTAGTCACTTTTCTATTACTGTGATAAGACACCATGACCAAGGCGACTTATGAAGGAAAGCCTTTAGCTTGGCCTCACAGTTCAAGGGTTAGAAGCTACCATGGCAGTGTGAAGGCTGGGGCACCAGCTGGGAGGGAGCTCATGTCTTCATCCATAAGCGAGAGGCAGAGAGGGAGGCAGGCACAAAGGCAATGGCAGGAATCTCTTGAAACCCCCCAGCTGCTTCCAACAAGGCCACACCTTCTGATCTTTCCCAAATGGTTCCACCAGTTGAGGAACAAGTTTTATTTGCTTACTTATTTATCCATTTATTTTAGGTGAGGAGTTTATTGAGAGAAGGGTAAAGAGGAGGGAAGAGACCAGCCCCTGGGACAGGAGTGGCAGAAGAGGAGAGAGAGAGAGAGAGAGAGAGAGAGAAGAAGAAGGAGGAGGAGGAGGAGGAGGAGGAGGAGGAGGAGGAGGAGGAGAGGGAGGGAGGGAGGGAGGGATGGATGCAGAGAGAGAAAGGGAAAGAAGAGTATTTAAATAGACGGACCTATTGGATCCATTCTTACCCAAATGACCACACCAGGCAAAATGCAGAACTGCCCATTTTTTTTTGTGATTTGTATGTGAAATGTTCCCTACAGGTTCATGTCTGAATATTTGGTCCCCAGCTGCAGTCGCTGTTTTGAGGGCCAAGTTTTGGGAGCCTTTAGGAGGTAGGGCCTGGCTGGAGGAAGTGGAAGGGAAAGCAGCTTGAGGATCATGTAGCCTGGTTTCACTCTAGCCCCAGCCTCTCTCCTCCCTAGCCCAGCTGCATGCTTCACCATCTAAACACCAACCATGCTTCCTGCAGTGGTCTGTACCCTCTCAAACCATGAGCCCTGCTGGGCGGTGGTGGCACATCCTTTAATCCCAGCACTCGGGAGGCAGAGACAGGTGGATCTCTGTGAGTTCGAGGCCAGCCTGGTCTACAAGAGCTGGTTCCAGGACAGGCTCTAAAACTACAGTGAAACCCTGTTTTGAAAAACCAAAAACCAACCAAACAAAAATGGTATAAAGGGTGGGGTTCTGCTGTGCTAAGCCTGACTGTGGTTCTTAGGTCTTCGGAGCTGGTTTGTGGGAACCTCAGGCTATGAGAGGCAGAGTTTCATGGGCTCTTCTTGGGACGGAATGCTTCTAGGAACTCACAAGGTTTCCGAGGGTAGCAAGGATTCTACCCAGAACTAGACAGAGGCCACTTATGTTATTTGGCAAAGATTGGCTGCTCTGCCTGTCTTCTAAAGACTTCAGTGAGGCTGGTCTCAAAAGGAATGGACCATGAGTCTGGAAAGAGGGTTCAGTGGTTCTAAGGATGCTTGCTGCTCATGAGGACTGGAGGTCAGATCCTGGTGTTCACATGTCAAGCCAATAACTCCAGCTCTTGGCTGGGTGAAAAGAGAAGGATCCTGGGGCCTCACTGGCTGACAGTGTAGCCAAAACCCGTGAGCTCCCGATTGCCGAGAGACCCTGCCTCAAAAGAACAAAGCTGCAAGAGGTAGAGGAGAACACTCACTCTCCTCTGGCCTCCACACATGCACAGGCAGGCATGTGCACACGTGTGTTCATACACAGCACACACACATTATGAATGCACACCATAATGGACTAATTTGTCTGACAAAAGAAATTTCAAGACAGCATAATACTCAGGCTGTGGTATAGTTATTGCTCACCATGTTTAGTGACATTAACAGTGAGAATTCAAAAACAGAACAGAAAGATGTGAAAATGTAATTTGGTAGGGAAAGGGGACTGTTAAAGCTGTACACAGGGTGGACAAGATGGGTGCTGTAGTTATTAAAAAATTAGCACAATTAAGGAGAAGCCTCAAATTTGCATTGGGCCAATCGCTAAAAGTGCCTTGAAGGCAGTACCTCACCCACGGACAGCCCTAGAATGTATCACTGAAGAGTCATTTGAAGAGAGCTTTAACAAAAGGAGCCTCCAAGGCATCCTGCCAAGCAGGGCCACCTTGGGAAGTGTTTCCCAAGATTAGCCAGGTAGGTGCTCCTCCGAGGCCCAGGGACCAGGCTTCACATTGAGCTGGCAGCAGAACATGGTGTTATTCAGACTGATCTTGTTTTGCAGAAATGCCTGATGCAAAACCATGAGGGAGTACACAGAATGTGGTGGTGTACAGACTGAATGCCAGAGCTGGGGAGCAGAGGTAAGCGGATCTCAGGTCTAGCCTTCTATAACATATGCATATGTGTAATTTATGTGTTTGTGTGTGTGCGCATGCATGTACGTATACCGCATTCTAGGCCTTCCAGGGCTACATTGTAAGATCTTGTCTAAAAAAATTAATTAGTTAAGGGTCCTGGAGGCTTACGCCAAGATTCTATCAAGCTACTGAGGCCAGGGAATATGGACCAGGATCTGATTTCCCCACAAGAAGATCATTGTACAGAAAGCTGTGGAAGTGAAGCCTAAGGGCAATGGAGACCCCAGGATGCTGGAGATGCCAGACACATCTGCAGAGGCTAGCTGCAGGACCACTTGGAGTTGGACACATGTGTCACAAACAATACCACTACAGGGGTTTGACTATTTGAATTCAACTCCCAGCACCCACATCTGGCAGCTCATAACCACCTGTTAATCCCAGCTCCAGAGGATCTGTCTTCCTCTTCTCGCCTTAGCAGGCAACTGCACTCATGTAAATACCCACACACGGACAAAGTAAAAATGAAATAAATCACCAGGCTGTAGTGATGCACGCCTTGAACCCCAGCACTCGGGAGGCAGAGGCAGGTGGCAGAACTCACTTAGAACTCACCAAACCAGGCTGGCTTCAAATTTACAGAGATCCACCTGCCTCTGCCTCCCAAATGCTGGGATCAAAGGCATGCACTACCACACCCAGCTGTTGCTTAAGTTTTTGTTATTTGTGTGTGTATATGTGCAGGTTTATATGAGTTTCTATACACCATAAACACGACATCAAAAGAGGGTGTTGGATCCACTGGGACTGGAGTTACAGATGGTTGTTAGCTGCTATTTGAGTCCTAACAACTGAACCCAAGTCCTCTGGAAGAGCAGTCAGTGCTCCCATCCAATGAGCCATCTCTCCTGCCTCTCTAACTTCAGTCCTAGGGGATCCTTTGCCCTCTCTTGGCCTCTGCAGACACTGCGCACATGTGGTACACAGACAAAACACCCATACATATAAAATAAAAAATAAATAAAATTCAAAAATAGTTAATAAGATGTTTGTATATAATACTTGGTGAAAACCATTTTTTGTTGTTGTTGCTGTTCTTTTCATAGGTTAGAAATGTGTTGACAATCTCGGTCTCACGTGATCACCAATGAACTAGTAACTTTAAGGTTGACACCCCATAGGCTGACTTAACTCTTGGGAAGGGAAGCAGCAGGTCCCTGTGTTATGCCCAAATCCGTGGGGTCCCCACAAAAGCCAACAAAGGAGACCAAGTCCCATATGTAAAAGCAAAGAGCCTCACTCGGGAAGCAGAGGCAGGTGGATCTCTGTGAGTTCGAGGCCAGCCTGGTCTACAAGAGCTAGTTCCAGGACAGGCTCCAAAGCTACAGAGAAACCCTGTCTCGGAAAAACTAAAAAAAAAAAAAAAAAGCAAAGAGCCTTTATTTTAATCAAGTTTGCAAACTCGGTCTCTCTGCATGTCCAATGTATTGGAATATCCAGAGAGCCCCAAGCTCAATTAGATAGGGTTCTTATAGTAGTAGAGGTGGGGGTGAGGGGTCTCTGAGGTTTAGGGTCCCTGATTGGCTGACATTTATCTAGGGGTGTCCTGTTGAGGTGCGCTGTGTCAGGTGTCTCTATTTACAGCTCTTGGAACGCCAGGCATTTCCTCTGAAAGGTCTGCTCTTGGGTGGGGGCTGGGCAATCTTGGCCTGTGGTTCCTCCTGCAGCCAGGAATTGTCTCAGGGTAAACTACTGAGACTCCAGACTCCATTTAAATTTATCGGTGGCCAGAGTCCCAGGTGATAATGGTTGGAAGTAAAGAACTTCCTTTGGGTGACCTGCCCAGACTTAGCTTATCGTGGCTGGCCCCCACACCCTGGAGCACACAACTACTGTCTGCCAGCTGCTTCAGAATAACTGTGCTTCACGAGACTACAGTGTTAAGGGTCTTCCTGTTTATCCTACCCAGACATGATGGTACACATCCCTGACCTCAGTGCTTTAGAGGCTAAGGCAGGTTGATTACCAAGCTGGGCTACAAAGTAAAACCCTGCCAAAGATAAGAGGGAGGGCAATGAGAGGGCAAGGCAAGGGTGAAGATATAACCGCAGTGGTGCAGTGGCAGAGTACTTGCCTGGTGTGCATGAAGTCCTGGGCTGAACTCTGGCACTACACAAAACTGGGCACGGTGTCACAACTTTATAATTTCAGGGCTTGGGAAGCCAACGCCAGAAATACAGGTGTTCAAGGCCATTCTTAGCTGCATCTCAAATTTGAGGTCAGCCTGAGAGAGAAAGAGAGAGGGAGAGAGATCCTGAGGCTGGTACCCTGTAGGCTTTTGCCAAGTGGAAAGAAAGGTCTTGACAAAAAGGTCAAGTTCACTTTTGGTGGGTTTACTTGGCGGGAGACAAAACTAGGCTAACCAACCCCACACCTCACACTCCCGGTGACTGCCCAAAGAAATAAACCTTCTAGGCACAATCCTAGTATGCAGGAATGTAGAGAACAGAATTAACAGCCCCTCCCCTTCCCCATGGTGGAGGTAGTGCTGAGTCACTCAGGTAGCCTGGCCCACAGCAAATCCCCAGCACGAATTAAGATCATTCGTCTGTTAAACCCGCTGAAGCCTGGAGAAAGAAACAGAACGTTTTCTTTGGAGTCAGGCCTCGTGGAGAAGAATTACTTTCTCTCTAGACCAGGCTGGCTTCGAACTTGGAGATCCGCCTGCCTCTGCCTCCCAAGTGCTGGAGACTTCTGTGAGTAGAGGCAGCAGGGTGGAAAGTTCAAGGCCAGCCTGGGTAAGAACTTACCTCAAAAAGAAAAGTTTTAAAAAAAGACAGCTGGGGGGGCTGGAGAGATGGCTCAGAGGTTAAGAGCATTGCCTGCGCTTCCAAAGGTCCTGAGTTCAATTCCCAGCAACCACATGGTGGCTCACAGCCATCTGTAATGGGGTCTGGTACTCTCTTCTGGCCTGCAGACACACAGACAGAACATTGTATACATAATAAATAAATAAATATTAAAAAAAAAAAAAGACAGCTGGCCATGTGGATTGGTTCAGAACTGTAATTCCACTACCCACGAGTTGGGAGCAGGAGGATGACCATAGATTTGAGGTGAGGCTGGCCTACATAGCAAGTTCCAGGTCAAACAGGGCTACTACTTAGCAACGCCTTATCTTAAAAACAAAACAAAAAACAAAAACAACTAGGGGCTAGAAAGATGGCTCAGCTGGTAACAACCTGTAAAATAAATAAATACATAAATAGATGAATAGAAAAGAGTCAGCAGCCAGGCACAGCCCTTGGGAGCCCTCCCTTTCTGGCAAGTTATTTCTCACTTTTGTTTCGCAAATCTACACATACTCTGCTAAAAAAGAGAAAGAAAAAGGAGCCAAGCATGGTGGTAGGGTGAGGGGTAAGCCACCATAGCCACTGGTGAGCTCCGGTTAGTGAGAGATCCTGTCACCTACCACAGAGATTGAGGAAGTCACCAATAGTCACCTCTGGCTTCTTCATCGTGTGAGCTCACATATTCACACACACACACACACTTTTTTTTTAAAGACACAGCATGCCGGGCGGTGGGTGGCACACGCCTTTAATCCCAGCACTCGGGAGGCAGAGGCAGGTGGATCTCTGTGAGTTTGAGGCCAGCCTGGTCTACAAGAGCTAGTTTCAGGACAGGCTCTAAAACTAGAGAGAAACACTGTCTCAAAAAAACGGGAAAAAAAAAAAAGACATAACAGAGAGATGGCTCAAGGGTTAAGAGCACTGTTGTTCTCGCAGAAGGCCTGGGTTTGGGTTCCAGCACCCACACCATGACTCACCATGGTCTGTAACTCCAGTTCCAGGAGAGCTGACACCCTCTTCTGGCCCGAGGGCACCAGGTATGCCCCTGTGCAGAAACACACAGGCAAAACATGCAGATAAAATAAAATGAATCTAATTTAAAGGAGAGAGAGAGGATGAAATGCAGTGCCACAGCTTGCCTAGCGTGTCGTGTGTGCGGCCTTGGGTTCAGTCATCAGTACAGCTTGCCTAGCGTGTCGTGTGTGCGGCCTTGGGTTCAGTCATCAGTACAAAAAAGAGGGGAAAAGGTAGACTGTCACCTTTCACCCCATGTCAATTTATCTCTACAAATAAATTTGCACAGCACTTTTTTTTGTTTTGTTTTTCAAGACAGCGTTTCTCTATAGCTGTGGAACCTCACTCTGTAGACCAGGCTGGCTTCACACTCACAGAGATCTGCCTGCCTCTGCTGCCTCCTGAGTGCTGGGATTAAAGGCGTGCGCCACCACCACCCAGCTGCACAGCACTTTTCTTTCTTTTTGAGATCGTTTCTTACCATGTAGCCATGCTGGCCGAGAAGGCTGGACCCTCCTGTTTCTGTCTCCTGGGTGATGGGCTATAGGCTTGTACCACCAGACCCAGCTCACAGGCTAAGGGGACAGCTATGAGGGCTGAGGACTGGAGTTTGGATACCTAGCGCTTAGGTAAGAAAGCCAGTTGTGGGGCTGGAGGGATGGCTGAGCGGTTTGGAGCATGTACTGCTCTTACAAAGGACCAGAGTTTGTTTCCTAGCACCCACACTGGGCACCTCACAGCCACTGACTCCAGCCCCGGGAAATCCAGTGTCCTTTCTGGACTCCTCCAGCACCAGCATACATGAATGTGTGCATCCTCGCATAGACACAGGCATGTATACATAATTAAAAAGAAATGTTTTTTAAAAAACAGGTATGTGGGCATAAAACAGTAACACTACTGCAACAGGGCTGGGGACAGACAAACAGACAGACACAAATGCCAGGCATGGTAGCTCACGCCTAGAATTTCAGCACTTGGGAGGTTCATACGGAACTATCAACATGAACTCGAGGTAGCCTGGGCTATATACCAATTTCTAGGCCGGTCTGACCTAAGAGGGAGACCCCATCTCACAAATCCAAAATAGCTGGGTATGACACCTTTAATCCCAGCACGTGGGAGAAAGAGGCAGGTGGACCTCTGAGTTTGAGGCTTGCCATGCTACATAGCAAGTTTTTTTTTTTAAAAAAAGATTTATTTATTTATTATATATACTGTATTCTGCACCAGATCTCATTACAGATGGTTGTGAGCCACCATGTGGTTGCTGGGAATTCAGGACCTTTGGAAGAACAGGCAGTGCTCCTAACCCCTGAGCCATCTCTCCAGCCCCCTACATATCAAGTTTTAGACCATTCCGGGCTAAATAGTGAAACTTTGTGTCAATTAACATGCTAGGCAGTGGTAGCTCACACCTTCAATCCCAGCACTCAGGAGGCAGAGACAGGCAGTTCCTTGAGTTTAAGGCCAGCCTGGTCTACAAAGCAAGTTCCAGAGCTACTTAGAGAGAAACTCTCTCTAGAAAAACCATAACCAAAACCAAACCAAACCAAACCAACCAACCAAACAAATAAACAAAAAGCTGATTCTCCACGAGGCCTGCTGACCTCCACGTGTGCATCAGTGGTGCTCACGAGTACACACACACACACACATCACATCACACACAATTTTTAAAAAATAAATTACAAAACAAAGCCATGGTAGTGGAAAACAACTTATTAAAAAAGCCAGTATTTCGGGCTAGGGAGATGGCTCAGTAGTTAAAAGCACCGGCTGCTCTTCCAGAGGACCCAGGTTCAATTCCGAGCACCCATATGGCAGCTCACAACTGTCTGCAACTCCAGTTCCAGGAGATCTGACACCCTCATCTAGACATACATGCAGGAAAAACACCAATGCAATTGAAATAAAAATAAGTAAATTAAAAAAAAGAAGAATGCCAGTATTTGTCTGTGGTCCCTGTGGTCCCTGAGGTCCCAGCCCAGCTTTCTAGAATCCTCCCAGTGAGGCTGGGATGAACACTGCCAAGCCAGATTCCCAGACCTGAGTCCTTGAAAGCTGACTTCTTGCTGGGTTCTGTAACTTGGAGACGCCACAGGAAGAGCTGAAGGAGAGAGAGTGAATCCTTCCTGTCCCTGCTTTCCCACCCTTGGCTTTTGTCAACATTCCGGAGCAGCTGTGGTAGTTTCCCCTAGGAGGAAAAGCCCAAGCGGTTGGGCCCTCCTACCTACCGACCATCTGTAGCTGAGGTCCTCCTTCAAATCCTCCATCCTGTTAGCCCTATTTCCCGAACCTTTTCATCCTCCCACGCTTAGGGGTGGTGGCCACCCACTATAATTACTAATATCCGGGGAATCTCAGCTTCCTCTCGACTCTGTCAGCTTCACATCTGAGTAAACAACCCACCTTTAATATCTTACCACAAGCCTGAGGAAAACGAGTGTGCTTAGCGTTTTCTTGGGGACCCTAAAAATGGTACAGGGATCTTCAAAGGAGACACAGTGTCACGGACTGAATTGCTGCTGCCAGTTCCTTGTTAGCAGCGACCAGACACACAGCTTAGATCTGCAAAAGCCAACCCCACCCTGCTAGAACCAGGCTTTGGCTAATGACATGTGAGGTTAAGTGATGTCTGCCGCCAGAAGCTTCTAGAACTGTCAAAAGGATTTTGCCACTGCTCTTTCTCTCTCTCCACTAGGAGCCTGGTGTGTCACCAGCTAGCTGCTCCACAAAAGAAGAAACAAACCTTTGTTGTTCAAGCCAAAGAGATTGTGGAGATGCTTAATGAGGTACATAAAACCTTCTTGGGTCTGATGGCTCAGCAGTGAAGAGGGCTTGGTATTCTTGCAGAGGACCAAGGTTCAGTTCCCAGTGCTCTCCTCTGGCCGCCATAGGTCACCTGAACACACACACACACACACACGACTGATTCACAGAATTGGACCGTGTCTAACACTTCACAGCAAAAATGAGAGCCAGCAAACAGCTGAGTACAGCTTTAGCGTACTGAGATGATTATTATCAGTCTGGAATTCTGTGCTCAGAACACCAGCCTTAAGATGCTACAAACATTTTCAGACACCTAAAACGGCAAGAAGATACCACTAGGACATCCTCACATGTTCAAGAAAGTTCTGAAGACAGAGAAAAGGAAAACTGTCTAAGGTTGATCACAGCTGTGGGATGGAATGAAGAAACAGCAACAGGTCTGTGAGTCAGCTGTGTTGAAGATGGACTTCCAGAAGAAAAACTGTATTTGTGGAGGAGAGAGTGTGGAGTGGATGGTCCACGCCTGTCATAATTCCAAATGCCCAAGGCTGAAGCAACGGTCTAGAGTTCTAGATCAGCCTCAGGAACTTAGTGAAACTGCCTCAAAAACAAACCAGCAAAATATTAGCACGGAAACCAGAAG